CTCTCTCTCTCTCTCTCTCTCTCTCTCTCTCTCTCTCTCTCTCTCTCTCTCTCTCTCTCTCTCTCTGTGTGTGTGTGTGTGTGTGTGTGTGGCATGGACGCTGTCTCCGGCACTCTCTCTCTCTCTCTCTCTCTCTCTCTCTCTCTCTCTCTCTCTCTAAATGGCCCCCTTCCCCCCGCGTCAACCTAGTGTCCACCTCATTTCCATCTTGAGTACATTCAATCTATTTTCGGTATTTCCGTTTTATTTATTTTTGCGGCTACAGACTTTATTTATTATATCTAGTGGAACACGTGGCGCCTGTGCTATATTCCAAATGGGATAACGTATCCGATGGCCGGGGAAGAAGATAAGATGCTCTCTTCAGGGCGGGGGGGGTTTAAAAAAAAAAATACAAAAGGAAGTCTAATTCGCCTCCAGACAGAAAAAACGAGGAGACTGAAAAGAGGCAAAAAAAGAAAAGGAAGAGAAAACGAAACGAACTGAGTCCAAAAAAACGAAATTCCAAATACGGGTAACTTCAGTAGAGTCACAAAAACGTATCTTGCCTCATAGTAGTGCAATCACAACTCCAGAAAGCTACTAGTACCTGGCGAGAAAGCTGGGTTGTATACATTGCACTACTACTATGAGGCAAGATACAGTTTGCAATTGCACTTGGGGCAGGCACCCTATTACCGGTAGTACCTGGCCAGAAAGCTGGGTTGTATACATTGGGCCCCAACTGCAATAATTCGAAACTGTAGCTTGCTTGGCCCATAGTGCAATCATAACTCGTTTTTGTGACTCCCGCGTAGTTTACCCAGAAGGGGTAAAAAAAAAAAAGAAAAAAACTTAGTAGAGTCACGAAAACGACACAGAAAGAAACGAATCGAACTGGAGAAAGAACCTTTTTTTTTTTCCTTTTTTTTTTTTTTTTTTTTCTCTGTGTCGCCCCTCCGCAGCAGAAGCATGTAATTCCTCCCTTGATTCCCTTCTGAAGACGCGCAGATCAGAGTCGGACACGTGGCAACCAGTCGAGCAAGCAGGCTTGTATGCGGACATGTGGGCACCTTCAACCAAGGGGGAGACGATCTCGAGCCTCATGGGGATCATCTTGTCTGTACCCAGCCCGAAAACTAGTCCAAACACAGATATGACACGTGTCCAGTGTGATCACGACCAACCGCTGACAGCTCCTCCGTGTAGTTTCACCATCTCTTCAATCCTTGGCTTTTACTCTACTTCTTCCTCCTCCTCCTCCTCCTCCTCCTCCTCCTCCTTCTCCTCCTCCTCCTTCTTCTCCTCCTCCTCCTCCTCCTGATCATCACTATGACACTATCATCATGAATAGCCTTCCCCATCCCTAACCTTAGTATCCATTTGTTTTTTTTTTGTTTTTTTTGTTTTTTTGTTTTTTTTTAATAATATCCATATGGTCGAGAGTCTTTTCGATAAACTCGTCCTACACCTTCAGAATCTCGGTAATAAAGTCCCATGCTTTCAAAAAAAA